AATACATGCCAGGCTGTTCCTAGCAATTTCAAATTCAATTACATTTCATTTGGCCTCAACATATTTTCCACAGGTGTGAAGAGGTTTTTTTTCGGTAATGAAAAAACCATAAATCATGGCACAAATGAAGTTGAAGTCGATGGTTTTTGGTTTTTTGGGGCCCTTCGTTTCTTTATCTCTTCCATTATTGTTGTAAAGTGTAACATTGATTAAGCATTATTAGCGTTTATTGTTGTTGCGGCTCCATTCCTCCCGGTCCTGCTATATCTGGTCCATTGTATTTGGGTCTTCTTTCCAAGCCTTCTCCCAGTTGTTTTTGTTATCTTCCCTCTCTGTGTTTTTTGCCCGCACAGTGGGACACTTTACATCATCAACACTCTCCCGGGTGATGGAACGTTTCGGTTTCCAGCTCTGGCATCAGCCCCCCAAAAGAGATTCTCCATTCGCAGGGGCTATCAAAATAGAGTTGGGGGATGGGGCAGAGGGGCTGCAACGATGACCACTATGGGGGCGACCGACCATGTTGATATATGTTCCGTCTGTCTATGGTACTCCAAGTAAATCAAAATTGATTTGCCGAGTTTGCCTTGTCCGGGTAATGAAGTTTTTAATGAACTCGATGGACAGTGGGGGAAATGTGAGATAGTAATGGATAAATTATGCTTAATTTGGAGAGATTCTAAAGCTTATGTTTCAATACATCATTTTTAGTTAATTTTTGATAGCTTAAAGAAATTGTTTCATTTAATATTAATAACAACCTTATTATCTTTACTCTAAAACTCTAAATATAAGCTAGAAACTTTGTAAATTATACAATCACAACATGATTTGTATAAAAGTTAAGGATCTATATGAGAAACTATTAAATGTTATAAATTTTTTAAATTTTAGGGAACTTTGAATATGGATTTACTTTCTTAAAAAAAAAAAAAATATTAAGAATTCCTTTTATCCAATGCCAAAAAGCACATCATTGTAATAGAAAAGCAGCCGAAGCCCGACACAAAAACGAAACTGGCCAAAAACGACATAAACTGCCAAGTGACAGAGGGGCGGCAGCCATTATTCGGGCTCTTGCCTTGGCCAATAAAATCAGCGGAGAGAAGGCCAACGGCAGCAGTGGGATTGGCCATGGCAGGCTTCCGTGCAAGGTTTGGGGCGCCTCCAAAAAATCCAACACAAAGATCCAATAAAGTCGGGGTCAAAATTGATTTTGCGGTAGCCCAGGCAATACATGTTGTGCAGCTCAAATGCTAAATACAAGTTGACCAATCCAGTTTGGTGCGGGGGAAAAGGAATGAAATGGTTGGTACACAGAGGGAAAATAACGACAAAAACAAAAATTTTGAAATGCTTATTATTTAGTTATTGAAACTGCAAAAGACAAAAAATAAGTCAAAAATCGTAATTTTGTGTGACAGATACAAGATACAAGATACAAGCTCTAGTGATAGGGTTGTAATTCCAATCAAGTATGCTTGCACAATATTTTTAAAGAAGTTTTGATTATTTGATTAACAAACTTATACCTTTCCTTGTGCAACTTTATTTAATATGATTAATATTATTATATTTTAAAAACTAAACCATACAGTCTAATTTGGTTTTATTTTTATAGAAACATTTTGCAGCATACTTTTTGGTCCTATATCATGTGATTTCAAATCCTTTACCATCTGGTTTTTACTTTCGTTTTATTGCTATAATGTGTTTTAGGAATATTTAATACTTTTAAAGATCAAACAATTGACTTGGTTTTAGGAAGAAGTAAAAACCAAAGTAAAAGCAGAAATGGCAAATTAACAACACTTTATATTTAAAAAGGGCTGCCAATTATTATGCAGTTTTAATGTCTCTGGTCTCAATTCAATGCTTTCATCGTTTACTTAAATTAATTAAATTAATTTATTTATAAAAAGATCCTTTTACCGCCCCTTTACAATATCAGTATATACAGGTTTTAATAAGTATTTTATATATTTATATAGATTTAAACTGAATGTACATAGATTAATCCACTGATGGTGTAAAAAACCATAAATAATTCTTTTACAAAGATTCGAAAAAGGAATTTAGTTTTAATTTAGCTTAGACTAACTTTTAAGTATTTAATTTGAAAGAAACTTGTGAAAGTGAAAACATTAGGATTTAACTTTCCTCTTTATTTGGGTAAAATACAATACTATTAATAATTATAATCAATACCACAATTATTTAAAAGTTTTCAACAAATTGTGATTCATTTCTGTCCGTGTTGGCAATGCAATTTGGTTGCGGCCTTGCGCATGGCACAAAAGGTTTGACAAAGTGAGAAATATGCATGGCAAACAAGGAGCCCGAGAATTACCCTTCCCAGGACCAACTCCTCCGCTCGCTGCCCCTGTCCTCCGTTCGAGTGCAACGAGAAAATATGATGACATATCGCGTCATAGTTCAAACGGCAGGGAATCCACTGATCAATTTTGTACACAGCACGGCGCCATCTTTTTGGCCCTTGCACGAGAGCAGGATTTTGTACTTTTTTCGAGGATTTAGTATGCATTAAAGGGGAGTGAAAGGGGGTGAAGCGTGGAGAGGTGGGGCTTTGGCCTGGTCAGTGGCGCACTGTTTTCTCTTTTCAGTTGGTTTCGCTTCGTTTCGAGTGAGCCAAATCGTTGGCCATAATTTTTTATTATCCCAAGTCCGGGGAATAAGAGAGAGGCAAGACGTCGGCTCTTGGCTTCCGTTGGTGGAGTTGGCTCTCGGTCCGGAGTAGCCATAAAAATAATTAATTGGCTTTTATGTGGCAGGAGCCGTTGAAATTTTGCCTGTTTTTCAAGCTCACTCCACAATGCAATGGCCTGGCCCTGGCCGCTCTTCGCCATTTCCAATGCAATTTCTGCATCGCATTTGCCTGTTTAATTAGCCATATTAATTATCTTCATAATCAGCATCTGTTTTGTGGTTGCAAACACAAATAAAGCTCGTTTCCGCTTCTGGCGGGCTCCATTTTGTTTTTATCGTTTGCTGTTTTGGCGATTTAATTAGTTTTTGCGGTCTCCCATTGGCCATAAGACCGCAAATGCAATTGCCCATTTCGGTTGATATTCCCTTTAGAATTGTTGAAAGGTTGGCGGCTATGTTTGATTAGATTCACTGGGTCTAGGGGTTATGTAATGACACAGGAGCTACTCAATGTTTGTAGTTATGTACCATATTAAATCATTAAAGAACAACAACAATATAATATAAACAACAATAATAAAATGAATATTGTCAAGGGTGCCAGGATATAGATTTAATATCAATTATAGAGGTGTCCAAAAGTATGCAATGAAATAATCAGGGCTTGACTGATATTCCATAGAAAAGATACTTGTATACTTAAAATGATTAACATGTTAATGAAAACATACAAAGAAAATAAATAAATAATATATTAATGCTCATTGTCTCACCAAAACCGCTTGCTAGCCACACAATCGATTTTTCCTTACAATTCCCTTAAAAGAACTTTTTGTATTATACATTTCCCAGCGGTTTTTCATTATAATTTCTCCACTCCTTATTTCAAACCACTTGTTTAATGTTTAATCATACTTTTCCCAGCCCTTTCTACCCCTTCTCTCTATCATGATGGTCTTCAGTCGTTTCAATTAATTTATGCGCAGAAAACTGCAGCACAGTGTGATGCCTTTGCCCCTGCCGTTGTTGCTGGAAAATGTTATTCGTGGCATAAATTGCGCGGAAAAATGTACGAAACTAGAATGTGGAAAATACACGAGAATTTCGAGCGGGGGGAATGGTGTATAATAAACGAGAAAAAATATATGATTATTAATTGTAATTACTCGGTGGCCACCGAGAGTTACCATAAATAACCGAATAATTATGTTTGATTGAAGGAGAAAGTCTCCAAGTTTTTTTGTATTATAAAAATCGAATGGTGAAAAGCAATCATAAGTGAAAGAAGTAAACAAATTTTGTGCTAAGTTGATATAAGAAAATATTTTAAAGTAATAAATTGTAACAATTTAAAGCTAAGCTAAACTCTGCTACAACCTCAGACAAGTCAAACGCTTCTTAGGGTCATAAATTAAAAGAAAAAGGTCGGAAAAACCAAATAACACTAATGAGTTTTTGTAATTAAAAAATAAAGGAAATAAAGCGAGTTGCGTTAGGTAAAAGTTTGCCAACAAATAACCCTTAAAATCGTGAAAATAAAAGCCAGGAAAAAAAGACGAACTGACTGCTTCATTTACGGGGAGGCATACGCCCCTTTAAAAACATATTTTTGCTGTGTTTTACGCGCCAAAAAGGGAAATACAATAATAATGACAAAAAAGCCAACCATCCAGGCCACAAGTATAATATAGTTGATCTTTATAGTTTGATTTGTGTGCCCAAGTTAATGAAGCGGAAATGCAAATAAAGAATATATACAACCATATACAAATATCCACGGGCCTTGAGAGTTCGCCGGGGCCAATTGTTCACTTACCCGGCCTCCGTTGGCGATTAACATGATGATGATGACGACGATGCTGATTGCATATATAGTTCGTATGTACTATATAGGCCGATCTATTGTTCTACTCGCCTGACATTTCCACAGGGGAAGCCGATTCAAAGGCAAGTGAGTGAGTGAGGCGAAGGCTTTTCGGATGCTGCGCTTTTGTTTGTTGTGAGCTTCGTATTTTATTTTTATTTTTTTTCCTATCGACCTTATCCTGAAAACAGGACCACAAAAAGCCTACTGACATGTCCGCAAATTGGAAGATTTTTTAGAGAGGGAGAAAATAGCAGCGGTTGTGTGCAGTTGATTGCTTTCGAATGAGTTCTAGTTTACATATAATCGAAATAGGTGGATAAATAAATGTCTTGATATTTATGAAATAAAAGAAGAACTTGATTGAAGGAAATATTTAGATGTATAATGAAAAATGTCCTTTCTTTCAAGTTATAAAGCTATAAAAAAGTATTGTGCCTATTTTTATAAATTAATAAGATAATAAAACTATGATGTGACTGCCATGAAATCACACTAACCGTCTTGTTTATTTGCTTTTAAACTTCATAAACTTAATAATTTCCGTAAGTATGAATCATGCGTAAGGTTGCGTTTTGGCCAGGCTCTCTTTGACCTTACGGTTCTGGGCTTCACGCAACTCCTTGGCAACATTAAAGGCCGTGATTACTTTACGAGCATCAGTCTTCTTGCGGAATCTCTGCTGGCGCACCAAGAGGGGCCGGCGCTGATTGAGCCACCATTCAAAGTCCGGCGGAATGCGTCCAAACTTGCTTACCATGGCCCGGTGCCGTAAGATATCCTCGCGTCGTTCCAGCCACTTCCGGCCGTATTCCCAGCCGAGCAGCAAGCCCATCACGTTCCCATCTTCGCACAACTCAGGAATGGGTTCCGGACGCTTAGCCGGAGGCAGGATAGCCCCGCCATGATCCCGTGCACGAATCAGCAGCGAACGGCTCCAAATTTTTGGCCCCGATGTCATTTTTTCGTGTGGAACAGTTTTTTTTTTTTTCGTTTCTATGTATTTGTAGTTGTGTCGACTGAGTCTGACTGGAAATTAAGTCTCTTGTTGGATATGTCAATGTCTACTATGTAGTCTCTGAGCACACTTTTGGACGCTTTTTTAATATTTAAGTTTAAATATTTAAGTCTGTGGACCGTTTACAATTTGAGGCTAGAACCAGTTGGCAATGATATGTGCATATGAAGTCTCAGGTAAGCAATTAAACCATATTTCTCCAAGGTAAGCATAATAATCAATAACTAAAAAAAATATTTTAATTAATTTTAATGCGATTTTTAAATGTAAAAGTATGTTGCCATTATTCGAAACAATTTTATAAAATTTTAGCCGTTTGGTATCATAAATAAAATAGGAGCTTTTAGCAGCTATTAGGCCTGGTTCTTAAGAACCAATGGTCATCATTCTAAATCAAGCAACAGGAACAAGATTTAGCCCTTTCGCGGCGAGTCTTGTTTGGTTTGCGTTTCTCCAGCCATTTGCTGAAATCGGGTGGAATGAAATTTTTGGATACCCTTGTCTTCTCTTTAATGGCATTCTCGTAGGCCTGGCGCTCCTCCAGCCACTGGCGGCCATAGTGCCAGGACAGGATCAGGCACATTTGGGGTTTTTCTTGCACGTAAGATGGCTGAAAAGTCTTGTGTCTGATATTTTTATTTGGCTGATCACTCTCTGGGCGAAAAGGATGAGCGGGTTCCCAGCAGACCTTCCAATTGATACTCATGATGCTTCTTTTGGGGTTTGCCTCTTTGCTTAAAGTAAATAATTTTTAGTGTAGAGTTTATGTTTAGTATCCGTGTCTTGTCAAGTTGATCTGAGGGTAGAGTTTACAAATTTAAAAACAGAAAAAGCCTAAGCTCCTATAGAGCCCTCTTTCATTTGGGTAGGCTTCAAACTTTGGTTTTTTTTTATTATAAAAAATGTATTAAAATAAATCCTGATACAAATATGTATGTATTTCTACCAAAATAGATTAAGAGGCTGTAGAAAGAATCAAGAATCAGTCCTCATAACGATTTTCTATGATTTTTCTGTGATTACCAACTGCTAATTGAGTTGGCACAAACCATGCCAAGTCGTAGAAAATCCCAAACAAAGACCCGGGAAAACATTTTGCTAATGGACATAATAGCCCTATGCTAACTCAAATTGAAACAGACAACAAATCGCCCAACGACATTGGTTGCAGAGCGGGAGGAAAATGCAAACAGATGTAAATCTGAGCGTAAAACCCGAATAACCCAAAAAGTCGAGAAACTGGGAGATGTGAAAAGCACCGCATGCGGGCCAAGTCAGCGGGGGCGACTATAGGTCCGGGGCGGGGGTCAAGTACGGATTGCATTGGCAGGGTCGTAGCCCATTTACAGCGGAAGTGCACCCCTTAGATGGGGGTCTTGTTGTTCTGACCAACGCGTGCTAAAAGGTGCAAAGAGCCACAAACGGAAATGCAAAAACAGCTGCCTTTCCTGTTACTTTTATTCATTTACAATGCCAAATTATGCAATCAAAGTTGGCCGAATTTTAAAGATACAATTTACCAAAAACAATGACCACGTGGGCGCAGCAAGAGCCATGGAAGAACAAACATTTTTGCAGGTTTTCTTTGGAATTCATTTCAAATTAATTGCAATATATTTCATATTTTAATATATTTAAATTTCTTGAATATATATAAATTTATTTAAAGTCTTACTCTGAAGGTTATATTCTAAATTTCTTATTAATTAAAAAATTTGTTATGTTATTCCCAGCGAAGAACCGGAAACCAGTAAAGTTAGCAGCGCTGCCATTGTGTGCAACTGTCACTTCTGCCTGCCTGCTCGCACAAAGTTCTCCTGCCTGTGTCTCCGTCCCTGTCTGACGTTTACCGTTGCGCTCCTCGGCGCGCCTGTCATCATTTCTCATCGTCGCTGCGACTCCGTTTGTTTCCTTTAATTTGTCACCGCTGGAGCTCATTTCTGCGGCATAATTTGTTTGCAACTCATTTCGGGATTTATTTCCATGGGCTGTCTCCTTCTGTTGTTTATTTGGCTTTGTTTTGGTCACTGGGTCCGGGTCCCTTATGCATTTAATTAAAAATATTATTGCTTGTAATTGGGGAGTGAAGGCGGCTGAGAAAAGGGTTCTTAGCTAGGAAAGGGTTCTAAATTCGCTACATGATATCTATGGTATCTATTCACATATTTATGAATATAATGTCAATAATAATAATTGAATTTATGACAAATTTTGTAAATAATATAATTTAAATCTATTAAAGAAATATTTTACGATGGATAAGTTAAGAGAAGGATTAACCTCGAGTTCTTTTTAGTTCAGGTAATTTAGTATCATCTGTCTAATATCAAAATACTTCATTTTTACAATATAATAATAGCATAACTAAGCCATATTACTAAGAAATAGCATTCTATAGCTTATATCGGCTTCAAAAACCATCTTGTTTTGCCTTTCATTTTCATTTATAACAATTTTCCCTTGGTCTTTTCTATCAGGGCCCCCCACAAATTAAACTCTTTCAAAATATCTTTCCACTCACTTCATTACCAAGTGAGGCATATCAATTTGGCCTATCCAGACGAAATATTTAAAGCCACTTCAGAAAACTAATTTCTGAGCATTAGAAAGGTATGAATGAGCCCATGCTCATGTGTAGTTCCCCCGGCTATTGTGATCCAGCATGACTTTGCTTTCAAAACATATTTGTAACGGCAAAAGGCCGACAACAAAGGCTCAACACTCTCTGAAAAAAAAGAAAAAAATAAAAATAAAGGAAAATGCTGAAGTACACGCACTTTTAGACGCAATTACGTTGAACTTTGCACACCGTTCCAGGGGCGGGAGGGCCAGGGTGATCGTAATTGAGGAAAGGTACAAGCATAAAAACGCTCACCCAACTAAACATATCTACATCCATAAATATATATGTATACAGAAATGTATATAGTATGAGCTCACGATCATACAGAAGTTATGTATATACTTCTCTGCCTAGGGGGAAATCTGATTTTTTATGCGCTCTTGACTTCTGGACTGCTCCCTCTCTAGTAGTCACTTCCCAGGGCTGAACTTTTCAGCACGCCCCAGGTGAAAAGGAAGAGAGAATGATTCAATTGCGGCTTTTCCGGAAGCGAAATACCCTGGGATATGGGTAATAAAATTTATGTGTATTCGCATTTCACAGATCATATCTATCTGCAGAATATTTGGAGTACAAATTAAATGAGATATGACTCCTAATTGTAGTCCGTTGATTCAAAGTTTAAAAACTTTACAGGATCCGCATATAAAATATTAAGTATACGCAAGATATATATCTGTCAATCAGTATATCTCGGATTGATTAAACGTTCTAAGTTTTGAATCATTTTCATCTAAGGACCAATATCCCCATGATCTTGGAACAGGGTACACTAATGCATGCCTAGCGACAACAACGACAACATCGCGAGAATGCATCATCATCTCAGCTCACCACACTATCGCCATCTCGCTTGGCCAACGCCATTGGGGGTTCGCTGTGTTCTTCGAGGCCTACGCGAGGTGAGAGAGTGCCACTGTGCATCCCGCTCGCACTTCCGCTCACCACAGTCACCCATGAGGCCCGGCTCAGTCGCTCGCCGGCTCACTCACTCCCTCCCTTTGACCCTTTGTGTGGGGATTTGCCTTTATTAGTTTGTCTAATTGCTTTCGGCAACTATTATTACGGCATTTGCCGCCGATGTTGTTGGTTTTCGCAACATAAAAGTATCACAGATGTGCGAAGCCCGCGCTGACACCCCGCCGCTTTCCAGCGCTCTGATTTGACTCTTCACAATATTCGTTATTATTCAACGGTAACGTTCCTGTTCGTTTTTCATTTTTTTTGTTGTGTTGGGTGTGCTTTGGTTACCATGTTTTATATTATGTTTGAAAGTACATAAGTACATATGTATGTACAAAAGTGTCGTATATGCGTTTCAGAATCTATGGCCTACTACTTTTGTAAGTTTTATACACTTTCAAAGAGTAAAATGATTTCAGTCAAAACTTTGCAACGCAGTGAAGAAGCCATTGGGACCATATAATAAATTTTTTTTATCAGTATTAAAAGACCAGTCGCACCTTCTGTCCGTCGATGTCCGCCTGTCCTTCTGTCCGTTTATCCTTTAAGTCTTTATTTTTTCCATTACAATATTAGTAGTTTTTTATTTTAACATATTTCTACGACTCCCAGATATGACAATAAATTTATGATATGACTAAAATTTCCTAAAGCTCCTTAAAAGTACTGCAAACCGATTTTCAACTTTGATCCCTTCAAAGCCCACATCCTTTACAGAGCCGCAAGGGTATTATAAAGTTCGGCTTCCTGTATTTAGTTATTTTTCTGGTTTTCTAATAAAGTATGTTAAAGAAGGCGTGAAATATTTCGCTGTTTCAACATTTCCGCTTTCTAGGACCACCCGCCGGGACCCCGGCAGTGGTATGGGGTAAAGGGTCATTGCGGGGAGGCGGTGGATAGGGGAAAAAGTGTTTTTCATTAAATTGTAAATTCCACATTATTTAATTTGGTTTGGTGACGCTGTCCATGTTGGAGAGAGAAGCAGATGGCTTAGATCAAAATTAATTTTTGTTGCATACTTCGGGGCGTTTTACAAAGCCGTTCTCAAGGTAACAAGGATGAGATTTTGATTTGACCACATGAGCCATAAGCCATATTCATGGCACCACTCAAAAAGCCATTCTATATGTTTTCTTAAGGACTTTATATACCTCAATACAAGGTAAGGTTACTAGTTTTTAGCCGTTTGTCACTGGAACCTACTTCGAATGACACTAAAACTGCTATCCTGCTTTAGAAAACATGAATATAAAACATACAAGTTAAGACAAAAATTTTAGAAGTTTTCTATCTGTACCTTTCCCCATTTGATGTTCGACCTGCTCTCATACTCAACCCCTCTGGGACACAGCCGTTCTAGATCCCACAAGTCCTTAAAGCAACACTTTGCTGGGCCATATCCCTGTTTTTTATACGTCTTACCTTCGATTTGAGGTTTGTTATTTATCATTCCGCTGTGTAATTTTTCATTCGGCAAACTTTCTGAGCCACACGCACCCGAAGAGACCCATCTGGTCTGACCGAATATAATATTTTGCTTTGCTCCTTGACATTTATTTCTCTTATAAAAAAAGGAAGAAAAAGAAAAAAAAGAAAGCAGATAAGAAACAATAAAAACTGTAGCAGAAAAAGCAGAAACAACTAAAGTGCGATATTATTAATTTTACTTTATTTGTGGCGCATTCCTTACGGGCGCCCCTGACACAGAGGAGAAAAAGTCCCGGGCCAACGTCACGCTCATCCATCGAATCCATGCCATATATTCCTTCCATATGCCATGTGTGGGCAGGTGGAGGAGGAGCGGGAGCAGCCCGAGCCATCTTTTGGCCACCTTTGCGTGTCCATTGGCTATAATTCAAGCTGCATTGGGAGAAGCTCAGACCGCTGCACGTTGAAATAAATATAAATGTCAAAACTGAGTGGAGTATTTCAGGGCGAGCTCATATATCAGTGAATATGTATATATCCCTGCTTGTGCTTGTATATATATACATATATCTTACATCAAATCGTTGCACTTTGGTTTGGTTACAAATGAATCATCCTGAGGTTTGAGCTGCGTGAGAAATCTGAAAATTCTGGAAAACATTATTGCGACTACCTTTTAAGTTGTGAGAATTACTTTTTTGAAAATATAAATTCTTATAAAAGTGCAAAGACCTAATTTAAAATCCTGGATTAATACAAATTACACTGGGATTAGTTTTAAGACCAAAAGA